AACAAATACCCACTCGAATCCGATCTTGTACTTCGGAGGAAGAGGAAACGAGTAAAAGTATTAGTCGAGGAGATGCAAAAACTTTGGAATTCCAAATCATCTTATCCTGGCAAGGTTTGCAAAACCAACAGACACACCGGATGCATTTTTGGCTTCCGATTCTCCCGCGTGTATATTCTACTCCACGGAGCCGCGAAAAAGCTTGTTCGCACACACACGTCGCGAGGTTAAAACGCGAGTCACGACGACACGCCTCCCGATGCCAAACTTTCCCCACCACCACTGGTGTGCGTGTATGTTTACACGCGCACATACCGAAAACGCGTCTCTCCGGCAGCTCGGAAAATTTCTTGCGCGCCCACACCTCCACCGCAATATTCCTGATCCGCTTGGTGCGCCCACACGTATATATACACAGGTACATCATACCCACGCTCTCGCGCTTTGGGCGCAAAACTTTTGCTTCTTCTCCGCCCTCCTTTTTCCAACAAACTTGCCTCCTTGTCTTACGGCGCACTTAGGCTTTTCCTTGTACTTTATTTATTTTTTTTTTTTTTTCCATACGCAAAGGTACAGGAGCGAGCACAGGGGCACGAAAGCTCCAAGAAAACGTATTCTCGGATAAACAACGCAAGCAGCTGAGAGGGCTCCTTTGACCAATCGTGCGCCCTCTCGACCATGGACTACTTTGAACATTTTTTCTCACACGCTTTTCCTTGGCTCGCATTTTCCGTGCTATCCCGCCATCCAGAAAATTCAAAACTTACGCGTCTCCCTTCGCGTCTTTTTTCTCAAAATTCAAACACGCGTGCGATTTCAATTAACGTAATCACGCTAGACGTCATTAAAAACTCCAGACTCGGGGTACGAGAAAGTCGAAAACCAGCTCGTTAAAAAAAAAAAAAAAAAAAAAAAAAAAACTCTCATTATCGCGCTCGGTCGTCTCCGATTCAGCCCCGTCAGGTACATATGAATTCCCACCAACCCATTACATATTACGTGCACGCACCAACACCATCAATGTCGCTTCGTCGAGGTGACACTCTCGGCTTTGTATGCTCGGGGGGTGACAACAATAACTTTCCTTCCAGGGAGAATATAATTTCCGCGCCATAGTTGTTACCCTAATACGGTGTACGTTACTCGTGGCATACTTACCCCTTGACCCTTTCCCGGGGCGTACAAGCAACACCAGCTGGGGTGAAAAGCTCGAGGAGTCGGCGAGAGATTCGCACAAAGCTAGTTCCTCGAAACTTCAAGTGCTGTCGCACTACGTAATACTCGTAGAAAGAGATAGACCTTTTTTTTTTTTTGTCTGGCTCAACATACCTGCGGTGCGAAAAAGATACGTGTGTACGCTTTAACGAGTGGCGGAGCTTGCGAGTTTTATCATACCACACGTGGCAGTGGGTCAAGTTATTTTAATTGCAACGAATGCGGTTTCTTTCATCATCGTTTTAACTGTACCTAATATGTATGATAATAAAACTCATGTAGCTCGCAACAATTATTTTTTCTTCTCAATTCATGCAGTTTGACCTATCGGGGGGACCTCTAAATATTCGAATGACAATAACTATTCCCCGGTGCACCCGGTGTACATATGTTTATATACACCTGTCCATTGTCATTGAACAAGAGTGACTAATTGCACACGCTGGAATGTACAGTGGAGCGTCATTTTGACGTTTTCCTGATAGATGAACGTTAAACCACCAGAGAGTATAATACAGAGCATTGTCACGTTACATCACTGCAGGATATCAACATAATACATAGTAATGACAACTACGACCACTGTCGTATTTTTTACCGATCATTATCGGTACTTTGTGCATGTACCACGAAAATATAAATACCCGATCACCCATCCGTCGTAATAAACACTCGTTACATAGTTGTAAATATATATTTCGGTCCAACAACAATTGCAAGAGTTACGTTTGCTCGCAGTATGCAGCTGGTCTCCTGTACCGTTGTGCCACCAATACGTAAAAAAAATATGACCAGCTTTTCGCGATGCGCGTGCATATATATATACATATATATATATATATAGTGGTACAGTCATACAACAGTATAGAGCTTTGGATGTTTGCTCGGCGAAGCAATCCACTCGTATATTAGGTACCTGTGCCGATACGAAATTTCGTCTGATAGTAATGACAACTACGACAGTNACTTAAAATTCTACCAATACGAATGCACAGACGTAACCGCTCTATGAAAATTATTCTCTACAACTCTCTTTCTCGTCCTTTCGTCGATGATCGATCAAATTAGTGCTAAAAATAAGAGATAGTCCTCCATTGCACACATGATGGATGACGTTACGAGTAATTATATAGGTATACACCAATCGATCGAACGCACACACATGCTTCAATACCATGTGATTGAGTGCGATTAATTTTTTTTTTTTTTTTTGTTTTTTTTTTAATCCGTTTTTCATTTCATTTTATTTTTTACCGAGATTCACACACGCGCACTTTTTTAAAAGATCCAGGGACGCTTACAGCTTCGCTTTGATCGGTGCTTCGATTCGTGTATATACCTACGAGGTGTGCTGCCGATGGGATCGAGGCAGCTTTTTCATCTGCGTTCGAGGGCTTGTAATCACCGCGGTTTATTAATAACGCCAGAGATCAAACAAATCCGGCTTTGATGTGTTTTTCCAATCACTTTTTTGCGCGTGTGTATATATGTCTAGTCTCCGCGGATCCGATACAAACTTTCACGTTTTGAGACGTGTCTTCGCTATAAGTTCACGTTTGAAACGTGCGGTGTTATCAAAAAATACTTAACATTCTATACTTGTATCAAAAATATTTCCTGTAATCCCGCATGAAATTTGTACGAACATTTAGTGGAATATTTTTTTCTATGCAAATGATTTGAAAAAATAACCGCAATCAGGTCTGCTTGTGCATAAGATTTAACTTACCGCGAATCTTGTAGGTGTAGGGGGTATGATGATAAACTCTGCGGTTCAATGACTATTGATAAATTATACGTATCATGTGAGACGTTGAACCCCGGAAGCTCTTTCGTTTCGAGGCGATCAGTTAAACGTGATAGTTCCTCGAAGGGATCCCAGGACATACTTGTATGTGCTCTCCATCCAACACTGTTATCTTCTCTTTGAAATGTGCTCTCAGTGCGCTACTCGCAGAACAGAGCACCCATAGCCGAGCTGCTGTAGAAATGTCAGTCCCCTACTTTGTTTTTGCACGTGTCTCGCTGGACCATGTGTGTGAACATGGCTAGAGTATTTTTTCACGCGTATGATCCACGTGTTTGATTGTACGAGTCTGTATGATGTCCTGGAGCCGAGCAGGAGAACCTTCATACGGCTTATGTTTTCCAACAGATTTTTACTTTATCAAGTAAAAGACTTTTTTCAAAGTGCTTACTGAAAAAAAAAGGAAAAAAATTGATGTTTTGTGTTAGTTGCCAGTAATCGCGATCAATATTGAAATCATTGACTTTTCATATCCCCCGTAGCAGTATTACCATTCGTTTGTCTCTTTGACTCTGATAATTTTCATTGGAAATCCGATATTTAAACTGCGAAATTGATACTTGAAAGGACTTACTGTACATTTTTTGTATTTAATTGCTAAAGAAATATAATAATGTGGAAATAAACCCACGGAATTCAACATGGAATTTCTCAATTATTCAAATTTAATTCAACGCGGAGGTACTGTATTGACTCGATTGGCTTGTGATGAAACGATATACGATTCTCTTTGAAACTACAAACAATCGATAAACACGAATTTATTTATATTTGCGAGCTTAAAAGCTTACCTTAAAAAAAAAAAAAAAAAAAAAAAAAAAAAAAAAAAAAAAAAAAAAAAAAAATTGGGGAAAAGGATACTATGTGACATTTCAAAAAAGGGTTGCTTGAAAAATTATCCTCGAAAACATTTTATTTGTCAAAAAAAGAGGTCGAGTAAAAGGTTTTGTATTTCGGAAAAGCGAAAAATCCTGTTACGAATTTGGTAATGCAAAGCTTTTATCAAAATGGCGCATTATCCGTTATGTATTTTACAACGTTCGTCCATTACAAAAAGCTCCGACCGTAAATGCTGCCCGATTGTCGTTTGACGTGCTTAAAAAATAAATGTTGTTTATTTTTATCTGTCCTCCCTTGAAATTCGATGTTACTCACGCGCGCGTTATTTTTTTCCATCTGTTAAAGCTATCAAAACATTGTTACTCATAACGGCTGTCACCGTATCAATTTCACTTTTTGACGTTTTTTTGAAATAAAGTACTCTGCAGTATTTACCATTCGAATTTCTCGTATCAAGCTCATCCTGTCCCAAGATTTTTCCTCTCAAACATTTATTGCAAATCCTGCCTCGTCACGAAAAACTAGGGTTTCACGATCTCTCCACATACTTTTCCTGTCCCAATCCACGTTTTAAACCACGTGCCTATTTTTTATACACTCTTAAGCTCGCGTACCAATTTTGAGGTTCATACGTCGAGCTTGCAAACTTCATTGCCCGTAAACAATTTTTGATATCCCAGATTTTTTTTCCTCCCCCCTTTGACGATGGCTCATTAAAAAGGTTCATTTATCGGCGCTTACAAGAGCTGCCTTTGGCCGCAAGCTCGCGGCATCGCGGTGCTAATCGAGGGCGCCGACACCGTGTTTGATTCGCGGAAGCTGCACCGAGCCAATATAAATGCCACTCGGCAATCATCGACGGCGCTCTTGGCTCTCTCCGTGTGCAGTGCTCTCAAGGAGCGCGCACCAACATCGGCTCGCAATGAATTGCGCCGAGTTGCGCTTCTTGCGGTGCGCCGAGACATTCGCGTTCAAAGTGTGACACAATCAACTGCGGCTTCGTGGACGTGTGCGTAGTGTACAGCACAGCAGTGGAAGAAAAGTGTCTTCTTGTCTTCACGAGACTCTCGGGGCATCGTTGGCAATGTTTTTAGTCTATCGCTTGGCGTCTTACTACTTGTTGATTGTATGTTTAAAGGGCCTGCTGCAGACGCTCAAGCTTCACGCCGGCTACCCTCAGGATCTCGTCAAGTGCAACAACGACTTTGACGTAAGTACCCTTTTTTCTTTTCCCTTTTTCTTCCACCTGAGTTTGACGGCGATATTCGGATGATTCCTTTGTCATTTTACCGATCAAACTGGTAAGTTTATTGTGTGGAATCTTAAATGTAATTTTTTGGTACCCCTTCACTTGAAAGTTATACTTTTGGTACTTGGTATAGGGTGACTCAAGCATTTAACTGTAGGGATTTTGAAGACAAAACCTAAACAATCCGATGTTTAGAAGTTTTCATCAACTACGCGGAAAAAAATGGATAGTCGAAAATTGTTTGGCGATCGATTAGTCACCCTGACTACTTACATTTGGTTGCAAGTTCATTAGTTGGTAAAATAACTGTGCGTTGAATTTTCTAAAACGAGATAAAAATTCGAGTGCAATGCAATGCAATCCATACTGGTTCTACGTCCGAATAAACCAGTCGATCTACCGGCCTCTGCAAATAATCCCCGCGAAACTGCTGTTCTTTGACGAATGCAGTTTGTACAAGGTTATGGAAAAAATTAATAAATAAATAAAAAATAACACGTGGGGTAGTTTGGCGAATTCGATTTTACAAAGCTTTCGGTCTTTCGGGAATTTCGTTTGCCAGGCCGTGTAGTGGTGGAGCGAATCGAGTGTATATGTAGAAAAAAAGCTTTTCGTAATGGAAACGCGAATTTTCGTAATGAAAAAAAATGAAAAAAAGGTACACGAACGTCGATCAAATATGAGTTAATTGAATTGGAAATCGACTGATGGTTATTGCTCGAGGAGCAATGGGAATCATTTGATGTTTGTTACTCTTGCATTGAATAATTCAGAGAAATATCGGGACAGCAAAAAGGGAATTGGCTTTGGGTATGTTTTTAAACGACTTTGCGTTCATTTTTCGCGTTGATTACTATAAAAATAAAACCATCAGTTGGGACGTAAAAATACAAGTTGACACAGGTGGAACTGTTGGTATTTAATTCTTTGTTTTATTTAACGAATCGATCCATTAAAATATGTAGAAAATTTTCAACGAGAAACAACAACTTGCACAAATGAATCGAATCTCGTCGAGTGTTGTCTTTCACCACCAATCGTAAAAACACAATCAAACAATCCGTTTCTCACGGCTTTCCTCTTTGCTACCCTCCCGTCAATTTCAATATAAATTCACGAAATAATAAACAATCGATGCGAATCAACTTAGTAATCGTACACTCGTAGCAGGTGTGGTCAGCGGCAAATGAAAAAAAAAAATAAGCCCCGCACTTTTCTCTCTCAGCCGCGATTAACAAGTGTCCCCGGGAAAAGTGTATACAATGTGAACGCACGCGTACGCGACACGATTGCGTGAAAAAATTAAACTGCAGTATTCGGCCTTGCGATTAAAATTGCAAAAACCAATTATCACGAAAAACCAGATATGTTTCAGCTGGAGCTTTTTTCCAGTCGATCGGCAAACGAGATGTGATCAACTGTCAAAATTACTAGTACTCACCTGCGCCAGTGTTAAAATCAAAATTTCCGTAAAACCATGTATAAAACATACCCTCGCGATCGAATAACTCCGCGAGAGATAACATATGTACATGGAGCGCGAGGCTCAGTCCTGACGCGGCTTATTGTTATTCCGGAACGCTACATAATAGAGAGCACATATAAAGCCTCCGGTGCACCAGAGAGCCATACATGCACGGTTGTGTACTATAATATCTACAGTACCGCCACTATCCACCACTGCCGCCTTGCGACTGAGAATTCATTCGATAAGACTAATCATCGATCGGCCCGTCAAACCTATACAGTGGAACACGGCTCCGAAATGCCGCGTGGTTTAATTTACGCGCACCCACTCGCGCTCATGTAACGCATGGATGTTTGTGTGTGCACAGACGATGTACTCGTTGGCCCGATTGCTCGGCCGCATCTCCACCGTATGACCCGGTATTTATGTATAGACGCCGATGCAATTACTGTATATGAATTCGTGCACGGTTCCGATGGTTAAAATGAGATGGTATTTGATAAAAGCCCGAGCCGATTTAATGCCGATTTGGTCGCGAGCAAAGTCGATCCAATTGCGCGAGGGTAATATAATATTTTGGCCCCCCCCCCCCGTCCGACGTGGTGATCATTTTATACGCGGATCGACGTATACGTGTGCAAATCTGTATATCTTTGCGCACAGCATGAGTTCGTTTTATAACTCAATTTGCAGCCAGTGTATTTATAATGTCCGCTCGTTATGCCGGGCGCGTCCGTATGAATCCTCTATTTAATCGTCCCTGCCGACTTTTCCGCAGAAAAACATATGGCTACGGAAATATAAGCTAATCGTTGAATTTCACGTGCATACCTATACAAGTACCGAGGTAATTTCATCATCCCTTAGCTGCCAGTTTTGGACAACTTTGTTCTCGCGGCTTGATTACTCATTGTTCTTCAAAGCGCCAACCGGTGTATTTTCGAGCACTGCGCGTTTATCCCATTTTTAAACCAACGTCTCGACTCTCGAGTGCTCCGTGTAATACAATAAGGGATGAATCGCGAAAGTTGACTCAAACAGCCGATTAGCCGGTTTCATGTGGCTCAACTTTGTCGATCCGTGATCGCTGTATAAGGCGGTACTTGGTAATCAAATCAGAGATGTAGTGGCGCTCAATTGAGAACTGGGTTGTATGGTAACTTGGCTCGGAACAAGCACTATGTACACCACTCGAGTTTGCGCATCTCGTTCTCTTTGTCGCGGACGCTCGGGAATTTTCCGCGTTTACAACGAGGGGTAATTCCCAGCTGCTGTGTTTCGTGTGTCTCTTTGGAGAGGGACTTTCGGCATAATAATGTAGTGTGTACTGCTGATTATGGTCGGTTTGCTTCTTTTGTAGTTCCGTTGGAAAGGCTTTTTCGCTAATAATCCGACTCGAGAGAGCTGATTCAGCATTTTCGCGAATAAATCGAAAGAAAATTGGTACTTTGCGACAAACACACCAACTCCAAACGGACGAAAGCCGCTTTCGGCGAATAATAAATACCACACGCAATACATGTATACTGCAACTTTAGAATTTTACGTAAGAGTCGTCCCAAGCTGGCGGGGTGGTGGTTTTTCATCAGCTCGCGTAAAATTCCCAGCAGAGCTTGGTGAAAATGTTTTAAAAATTCAGCGCCAAGGCGCATAAAATCCAGACGCGACGTCGGAGCTGCACTTTATATATATATACACACATGCGTGTACACCCCTCATACCCCCTGGGGGATATGAGAAAAAATGTCCTTATTATGTACATCAGAGCCAAGACCCTGGCACTTAATAAGGTGCAAAGGGAGGGCGGGGGTGGGTCGGGCGCGTTATGAAAATTCGTGCTAATAAGAACGAATCAAAATTTAAACGTCTCAAAAATATAGAGTCGTAGCGCGTGGAGGCGCACGCTGCGTTAGATGATCGTTACGCGAGTGGGAAGAGAAGGACGATCGGTATCTTTCTCTCCCTCTATTCCGTGGGCTGTGTGCTCCAAGTGGGGAAATTGGATGGGCAGGGGGGTGGTGCCTCGGGGCAAAAGTGCGATGTGACGTTGCAGAGGTCGGACCATTTGTTACGGCGTATTATACTTGCTCTTCCCGGATCTGCATCCTCTTCCTCTCTCTCCTTTTTTTTTGTTCGAGGCACTTTGTGCATTTGCGTGCGGAATAATTTTTTTACGTTACCTCGAAAATGTACGAAAGGGGCGATTTTTATTAATTTCTTCCCTCTTTTGCTTTACTGTCTTTGGCAAAACAAAACAAGCCATCGTTGGATCTCGTAGTGAATTTTTCATATTTAACGGCTTAGCCAGCAAAAGCTAATAATGTTTGGAAATCCAATGAAAAATATACTCCATGTGACGTATCCTGTTAAAAATAAACGAAAAACGTAACGAACCACGGATCCATGCATAAAACTTCCGAGCGGATACATGTCCTACTGTGCTGTTTTAACGATTCAGTGAACATCGAAAAGTTTTTTTTAATTTTTTTTTATTTATTTGTGACATTGAATATCAGATATTTGAATGTTTTATTACTTTCCTTGAAGAGTTATATATGTTTATTAAAAATCGATAGGTCGTTTTCTTAGTTGTACTTGAATTTGCAAGAATTCGAAGTAGAAAGAGAAATTCACGTAATAAGTTTTGAATGGAGAGAGAAAAGTAGTCAACGATACCCGTTACAACAATGCAAGTATTCTGTAACAATTTTTTTTTTCTCAAGTGCAAGTGATGCTGTTCAGAAAAAAAAAGTCTCTCGCCTACAAAAGCGTACTCATCCAAAGTTGCATTCGGGGTAAAAAAAACTTTTTAGAGCTGGCGAGTGGAAGCTCTTTCCCCACGGAGCAGCTCGCGATCGACGGCACAATCGACACGCTAACGAGACCGAGTCGCGAGCGCCGATTTTTCAAGTTTGCTCTCGAGCGACCAGCAAAAACTGGACCGCGGTCTATTCCACCGAATTCATTTTCCCGGGCTCGTACATCCCTCGCACCGCACCCATGACTTTTTAACCAATGCACGCGTAGGGACGGGCTCGCTTGCCTGGCGATGAATTCGCTTTCCGCCGAGCGACTTTTTCGCGCCCATCGATGCAGCTTCTGGGTTTTAATTTCGTTGGGATGATCATTTCGCGGGCTTTTCGTCCGACAGCGCGTTCCACGGACCGACGGAAAAACAATTAGCCGAATTTTTCCCCCTCGATCCTTCCAGTGGCTGAAATGTCTGATGGCGTTTTATTTTTAAATTGCCCAGCACTGGGTGACACTGACTGCGGGTCGGTGTTACGCGTGACTGCTCGAGCGGCTCTCGGAAAATTGACGTGTACGAGAGACATCGCTCAAAAATCCGCTAGTGCGGTAAAAATATTAATAATTCATGCGTCCGAACGATGCTTGAGTCACCGCATATCTGTGCCATTTTTTGGAGTTGACAAAAATACTTTTAACTACCTTGTCTCTCGGTGGATATGCATCGATAAAACAAACCGACCGAGAACAAGTGATCCCCCCTTTTTGGAGTACCACAAAAATATACGTACATTGATTGTGAAGGTCTCAATCGCCGACGTGCTGTGATGTACGGGCCATTTAAAAATGTGCTTCCTTGGTTGTAGTTTCTGTCAGGCGATGGCTCGGGAGACGACGACCCGATGAGTGGCTCGGGAGACGAGTTCAATTTCGACGAGGCACCCGTGAGTCGCATGCTCGGGCCAACCCCATCAACTCGCCCACAAAAACAATACCACCCCCGGGTTCTTCCCTACGTATTTTCTTCTTTTCTGCCGCTTTTACGATCCCGAGTGCTTTCATCCTCCGCGCGCATGCATGGGTGTGTGTGTGTGTGTGTGTGTACGCGTGTTGATCATAAACTTCATTCCCCTCACGACTAACGACTTTGAGGGTGCTCTCTTTCGGGCTTACGCTTCGATCTAACCCCTTCTACAGCGGCTGAGGGTGTACACAACAGGAGAGCGCTTACCACTCCATCTCTCTGCTGAACCTCTTAACGAAGTAATTCACGTGTGTTTTGGGCTCTTCTTTCTTCCTGCGCTTGTGATCTTTTTTTTCCACTTTTCATTGTTGCACTTTGATTCGTTTATCAACAAGTTTGGAGGATTGATTTTTTTCGTATGGGCTGAGCGATCGATGATCCCCATCGCGTCTTATGAATGAATCTTTTGTCGATCGAGTTGAAGCGTTATTGTAAAAAGAAGGAAAAAAATTAATAGATCCTCCATGCGTGCAGCTGATGGTTAACTAGGTAACATATTTTGTAGTTTTTTCTTCAAACAGGAAAAATCGCGTTGAAAGTTTGTGCTGGAAAAACAATCATGGAGAAGGTAATTAAAAAAAAAAAAAAAAAAAAAAGAAAGAAAACCAGCGCACGAAAGCTGCGTCGGACTTTTCACCCCGATCATAGAAAGCGTGGGAGGAAAAATTCTAGTTACTCTCGAAGAACTCAATTTACGATTCAGACGCGAGTTTTGTGAATATATATCAGCGTGTTCGCGTGGACTGAAAGTTTTCCAAGACCAGCGAAACCGCAAAGGGCGACGTGATTACTTTTCGAAAAACAAAAGGTGACTCTGCTGTGACGCGTCATTTTCCCTCAACCATTTTTTCAGCCCGACGCGTGTCTCTTTCTGGAAAAATAATTCTCACGCATGAGCGAATTATAATTTCCCGGCTGGCCTGGATTCGGGAGGCGCGCATAATGAAGTTCTCGCTCAACGAGGGACCACCGCTTTGTTTGCGCGTGAAAAAAAAAAAAAAAAAAATCAGCAAAAATTACTCGAATAACCATCCAACTCACGAATGATCGAATCTCCCAATCAGTCCAGTGTATGCAAATTAATTTTTGAGGCCACTTGAGGTGTACATTATCAAGACTCGGTCGCTTCCAAAGCTCGACTCCGGTGCTCTGAGCCCTTATCAAACGAGGCTCCCTGCCAAGTCAAACACGGGAGATTCAACGCGCGCTTGTTATCATTTCAGGTGCAGCCCCATGAAATTTCACACAGCGCCGTATTCAACGTCCGCCTTGGAATCACGTTGGCTGGGATTATTTTCTCTTTCGAAACAGCTTCGCTCGAATCATAAGAGCGTTTTTTTTTTGTTTTGTTTTTTTTTTACCACTGGCAAATGGCTATATTGACACTTGAAAGGTCATAGTTGATGGGTCCATCGCTACACTGAAACCCTTGTCCTTGTAGCTGCGTGGATATCCATCGTGGACGAGCATATCTATGTATAATAACCCTTAAACTCGGCTCCGAGTGCACATCACCCCCACGCATACAGTAGTTAGCGTCAAGTTTGTCCATCGCTCAACTCGCGGATGGAATTTCTAGTCCTCTGATTAACGTCCAACAATGACCCGTTAGTGAAGTAAAGTGTGCCAGCAGAGTAAAAAAAAAAAAAAAAATTTGTCTCTATTGTCAACGAAGGATGGTCGACGACTCCTTCAATTCCGTCGAATGTTTGCCAATGATTTCCAGCTCTCGGTTGATTATTTTGTTTAAAATCAGGTCGAATAAAAATGGCCCCTCAAGCCCGGCCAACGCATGGTAGAGTTTTACCCTCTCGTATGCGCGTGTGTGCGGGCAAAAACAAACCACCACAGAGAGCACAAAAGAGAAAGTGCATCGCACCACCTCCCGAATGAATAACCGAGTCAGCACAAGTCCTCCCTCGCCCCGCCGCCGTATACTGTCAAATCGCTAAATTAATTCGTCGAGCGCACGCTACACCCAAGTCAGCTGACTCGTCGGACAAACAAACGGAGCAACGGGCGCGCCCGGCAATTTGCCACTAATCAAGCAGAGAGAGCTCCGAGTAGACGTGCTGGTGTCATGCGCTCAAACACGCCATACCTATAAGCACCAGCAGCGGCAAGGCCTCAGACAATGCGGACAATAGCTCGATCGGTAGTAGTGGTAGTTGCTGCTCGAGGCCACGAGTTAAATCTCGAAAGCCGCTTCGCCGAGCTTCCACCCCCCGGGAGGAGTGTATACCATCGTGGCTCTGTAGCTATTGATTGTTGTGTGTGTACACGCGCACCGAGACGGACCACCGAAATTCAAAGCAGCTGCTATTGTCAAGTCGATTGTCGGACGCGGATCGACTGTCTGTGCCACCACGCGCGCCGTTACACCTACACACGCCCTTCTTTTCACGGACCCGTTTTGTTTGTTTACTCTTTCCAGAGAGACTTGTTATTACAGGACTGGGGGGGGGGGTTCGTGGGAGCTTTTGTTGAAAATCTTCAAAGGGGCGATCGATGGGTTTTCGTCTCAATTAGATCGCGAGAAACCTGACGATCGGCGTTAAGTGACCTCGTGAATTTATCAGGCGCGAGATACATACACGTCATCGTTCGATCGGCTGTCAATTAATTTGAGAGCCATTTTTTACTGACCCTCGATTCCGTAATTATCGGGGGATGATTTTAAATTTAAAACCAAATGGCCCACAATCGGGAGTGCCATATTTTACGAATCCATTTTAATTTGGATCATTTGCGACGCCGACGAACATGAACCATCGTATGATAAAAACATCACGAATTTCTTGATCGCAGATTGAGGGAAAAAAAAAAAAAGATATTCGTAGACCATAAATTATCGGAAAGTACTTAGCACCACGTATGCGCGTGCCGCCTCACATTAGCCAACTTTACCGATCTAACGCATATATATACATACGCATGCACGCGTGTACTCGTAAGTCCATGCGGGAGTTAATTCGGCCACCCCAACGTCGTATTAATCATCCGCTGCGTGATAGCGCGGCACCACCTAGATTCAGCTCCATAGCCCTCCCCCAACCCCATTCCCTCTCTCTCTTTGCGAAATCGCGACTTCCGTGCCGGTTCATTTATCATCCTCACGAGGACGCTTTTCGCGTGACCCGAGTGGCCCACCTTATGCAATTGCACATATGTATGTCTGTGTGTGTGGAGTACCTATACATATACATGCAGACGCCCACGCCCACGGTATCTGCAGCCGCACGTGCGAGTCTTTCTCCGGGAACGCGTTTTGACAACTCCTGCCGGAGGAAATGATGTAGGTAGGTGGTGGTGCAACTATCGCCGGCACTGCTGACCCCGATAACGGAGCGCTCTGCCTCGCCCCGATAGGCTGTACTTATGCGGTTGTGCAACGAATGCATTATTCACGAGGGATTTTTGTGCATCCGAAAATCGCGATGTAGTACTTACCTGTAGGTACATACACATGCACCATGGGTAGCCTTGCTGGAGAAGTGTATCGAGTGACGATGGAAAAAATACTTTGAAGGGAAGTTTTGCGGTGCCGTGCACGTCTGCGTCTTTGAGAACTGCGGGGAACGAGCAGCACGTTGACACAAAATTACTCCTTGCGGCTGTGACTACAGGACTCGTGAGTCGCTGCGTTTCTTTATTTATTTATTTATTTTTTTTTTCTTTTTTTACTCCTCTTCTCTTCTCGTCGATGTTCAATCGAGTTATTTCATCGAGTAAGACGCATCAGCTTTCCCGTGTAATCTTCCATCGGCCCCTGTCTTTTTCCCTTCCGTTCTGTTGCTTGTGCGAAATTTTTATTGGACCTGAGCTCTCGTGCCCTCTTTTCTCCGTGACGTTTTTCAGCCAAACTAACTTTCGTCTGACGGAAGAATCGATAACTAAGCAATGCGATTCTGCAGTTTTTTGTTTTTAAGGGAAATGAGTCAACGTGTGGTCAGACATGGTGTTTGCCTTACAGAAAAATTCCTTCTTTCGAGTTATCGTTACATGATAATTTGAAATAATTTCGTAATTTCCGATTCGAAACGTTTTGGATTTCCATTAAATCATGAAATTTAGGATATTGCTTTCATATTTGCACGAAGTCAAATTCAAATATCAAATAATAATGTACGATGGTTCATCGGTGAGGTTGACTTGTCTACTATAAATTGGATACTAAATCCAGTTACGCATCGATACGCTCAAAGGTACACTATTATTAAATATTCGGATTGTACAATCAATTGGCAAATGATGCGTTCATTTCGCAAAATTCATCGAGACGTGCTCATTCACATCATGCATTTATACAACTAATTAATCATCATTTGGATAACACCTGTATGTTTGCTAACAAACCATACTTAAAATCTTTGATGAAAAGCTAATAATAATATTTCAATACAGTGGGCTACTAACATTTTTTTTTTTCTTTTTCACGATACACTATTTAATATGTTGTAATACTGTATAAATCTGACGTATACTTTTCAGCTCGTCACAGGAGACGATGAGATCGATAGCGAAGAAGTGAAGCCTCCACCGCCCATAACGCCACCTCCACCAAGTCAAACCAGTAAATACAATAATTTTATTATGTCTGTCTAGGAACTGAAACTGGGGGAGATTGGGGGTAGGGGGATGGGGAGGAAAGACAGCGAAACTTTGTAAATCTGTCACTGATTTTCTTTCTCCCTCCGCGTGACAGCGCACGGTCTATTTCTGACTATCCAATAAACAAGTATCAAAGACAAATGCTGTCGCACGATTTCTTTCACTCCCAGAGTACACGGCGCTTTGATCAAATAGACAATTTCTTGGGACTTTCTGTCAATCTCAAAGCCTTTGAAGGGATTACACTGGGATGGGAGAGACATGTAACGCATCGCTTGAATTAAGAGACACGGGTCGGTCCAACTGAGAAATCGGTGTGTGTCCTTTGCAGGCAAGGACTTGATGAAAGGAGAGAAAGGCGAAAAAGGCGAGAAAGGCGAGAGCGTGAGAGGACCACCGGGACCGCCGGGCAAAGGCTACGAGCTTAACGACGAGGTACTCCCCGCTAATTCCTCGCTACTGCAGCGCTGGCTCTATTGGTTACATTATTTTCTTGTCATACATAGCACATTTATTTATAAAAAAGAAGCAAGCCTCAATAGAGTAGCAGAGTATTGAGAGGCGCTTATAAAAGCCGAAGGTTACCCGCATGTGTTTTCAAGGAGTGGACGGCGAGGCTGCCCAAGGGACCACCAGGACCAAAGGGCGATCCAGGCGACTGCAGTTGCAACGCGTCAACTCTGCTGACGTCCTTCACGAACCCGAAAATCATCCAGGGCCAGAAAGGCGAGCCCGGAGAAGCCGGCATGCAAGGCACAGAGGGCAAGCAGGGCCCACTTGGGCTGACGGTATGGAGATACTGTCCTTCTTGGGTCCTTCGTGCGGTATAAGGTCGAGACTGATTGTCTTGTATCGGGACTCGATCGATCGGTGCCATGTTATCTGGTGCTTATTATTTCCGCGATACAGGCAGTGGAAATTGCAGTTGTACGTGAACGGCTTCGCAGTTGATTGCACGCCGATGAATATTGAGATTTTGTTTTTCCGTGCCGCTGATGCAATTTCGGACGTAATTAATGCGAGTGGACGCGCGGCAGCAGTGAAATTAATTATAAACTACATCGATCGGCAGAGCTCGAATGCCAATTATCGATATCGTTTTGGCATTTATAATATTAATAAGGATATTCGAACAACTATGGGTTAGATGCTTGTGGGGTTCAGTGAAAAAAAAAAAAAAAAAGAAAAAAAAGCTTTGGGTTGGAAAGTTTTTTTACCAACTATATGTAAGGGGATATACACGTATTTATTATTTTGAAACTACCTACGTTTGTATTGAGGAAACGAGCGGAAACTGTACGCTCGTTCTAATTATAATCAAGTGGATTTATAATAGTAGGTTGGCTTGTATTGTTACACTATACGTACTAAAATTGCATAAGTTTTTTCCAGGCCAACTCCGAGGACCTCATTTAAATTTTCACCCTCAAACAAAAATTTTTGCATTTGTAAAAAAAAAAGAGTAATACAGAAACATCGTTTTTGTTTCTTTCAACATACGTTACATTATCGCGACAGCTGAACAAACGAAAAAACAAGTGCTCCTCTCTAACAATCTTCCACATGCCCTTTTTACACGATATACTCACATGCAACTCAAAACATAATGTATATTGTAATTTTGTTAAACGAAACAGGAAAAAGATAAAGTAATCATTTGTATGACGTGATAGGGAGCTGCAGGACCTCCTGGCGAGCGTGGCCAACCTGGGCCTCACGGGCCAAAGGGAGACAAAGGGGAACTTGGAATGACTGGGCCTGAAGGTGAGTGTCGTTTGATTTTCAATGCCCTCATCAAGAAGTGCTATATCGGATTTTCATTGTATTTCATTGTTTTGCTTCATCAAGTTTAATTGACAATAATATTGAATTGCCGAGTGCAACTGTCAATTGAATTTGACAAATTGATTTTTGTCTCACAAAAAATTAATTAAATTTTTATATCGTAGTACAAGTGTGTCTTTTTTCAACGTAGATCCAGATATTTGAAAGTTGCAATTTTGAAACTAATCCATTGAAACAACCAAAATGTAACCATTGATTACAGCCAATCTAGTGAAAAAAAAAAAATAAAATAAAACACAAATGCAATTAAACGATTACACCCAACTCTGTTGAAGGTCCCCAAGGACAAAAAGGAGAGCCAGGAAAGGATGGAGCTGCCGGGGAGAAGGGAGCCATGGGCCCGCCCGGGCCTCCTGGAAAGGGAGAGTTTGCCGGCTATGACGTGAGTTGATATATCATTGTTTACTGTTTGACAATATAATAAGTGATTCAAATAGTTTTCAAGTTTACTGCAAAAAATTCGATTCCCCCTAAAACATACCGAAAAAGCCTGGCGTCCGGCGTAATGAAAGAAAACGTCCTCTCCGCCACATCTACCCCCGCGTACACTGCTTATACCGCGCGTTCCTTTTAAAGCCCAGCCATAGTTAAAAAACTCTTCGACTCCCGAGGATGCACATTCCGCATCCCTTACACCCCCACCGAGACCTACTTCTTCTTCTTCTTCTGCTGCTTTTGCTCCTTTTTTTTTCACAGCTGGCTCTGAAAGGGGCTGCAGCGGTGAAAAATCGATATTCTCCCTCTGTCAGTTCCACGACAATGATCACGTCTCTTTTTCCCCATCGGCTTCCAAAGTCAAATGGAAATGGAATGCACGTACTGCTGCAGCCTCTACTGGGAGTATATCGGAGCTGACATTACTCTCCCTCTTCCCTACTCAATACGTCCGGCGGATGACATCCTTTCCAGAAGCCAAGAAACACACATATCCGATACCCTCCCTCTTTCTTTTTCTCCTCTTTTGTTTTTCCAGACCACACGCGCGTGCACGTGTGCTTAGCTTACGTGCTTCGCGTCTACACCCTTGCAAGCATTATTTTCTTTGACAGTCTTTCCACCCCCCCCCCCACTCCGGTAAACATGCATTTGCGGGAGAACGAAAAAATACACGCTGTCGCGCACGCGGGCGAGCTTACCTCGAGACAAGGGAGTCTCCTCGCGTGGGAAAGACATACACATGTACACTGAGCGTCATACATTTCCCGAGAATTTTTTATTCGATCGTTCCACCCGCTACTGCGGCACATTTCCAACGTTCTCGCTTGGTCTGACCAAACCGCGACTCGTACTACTGATTACTGCGCTCCCGACGTTAATGAGATCCGCGGTTGGGTCGGATGTAAATAAATAAATAAAGAAATAAATAAACAAAAACAGGGAGTGGAAGAGTCACGAGAGAGAGAGAGAGAGAGAGTACTCGGCGCCTGTTGCTCTCGCGTATATGCACCTTGGGCGTATAACGAGTCATCGTCGGCGCCCCCGAGTAAAAAAGGCTCGGCACTTGGGCCGGCTAACGAGCCGGTGCTATACGTACCTCCGCTCTCTTTTTCGTCTGCGCGCACATATATACACACTCGGTCGTGTCCGCGAGTAAAAACAATGGCGAGGATACCAAGGGGTGGGTGGGGGGTGACGGTAAAACAAACGGAAAACGCCGACGCCGCTGTTGAGCGACGGACGGGCGGACGCGCTCGAGTTTTTATTCCAGCCCCGGCGCTCGTGAATATTGCGCGGGGGACTCTTCCCTCGTTTCGCCGGGATTGTCCTGGGAGTTGCCGGCTTGTTCATTATTTTTCCCGGAGCGTGATGGACGCGGCTGTGCTACTTCTGAGTCCGGCGTTTGAGTCATTTGTCCCACGTATATACATCGCGTCTGCTTATCGGGTTCAAGGAAGATTATTGGATTCCCGGGTATACACATGCGTCGAGAGGAACGTATCCAGTGATGGAATAACACCTTGGAATTTCTCTTGTGTAAATTTCAATTTCCATTCGGCGTTTTATGCTGTACGTATATAGGCGGCAGTAAAGAAAAAAACATTAACATTGCACGCTATGCGTAGTACCCTACGAGCCGATAGGGGTGTAGTCGTTCGTGCCTGGGCTCAAGTCGTTGTCATTTTCGCGAAGGAGATGAAATGTCCTACCGCTCGGTCGGGAAACAAAATGATTCCCTAAGCGCGTAATATATTAAACCATATAAAGTCGACGCGAGTCGTGAAAAAAAAAAAAAAAAAAAAAAGAAATCACACGCCCTGCTGACTCTGTCGCGCTGCAGGTGACTGATGGGAAACGCTCCTCCGGGGCATAAAGACGCCGGGCTTACTTTTTCACGCGATGTATATAAAAATACGTCACCCTGACTGACGTGGGAAATGCTTCGCGAGGTAATTTTATGCGCATCGCGGAATACGCGATTTCGAGATTTTTTTCTACCAAGCGCAACGCCAATCCTAAGGAAAAAAGGAAGAAGAAAAAAAAAAAAAAAACACAATAGTAATAAAGAGGAGAAGTTGCTTGTATGCTACTGGCAAATCGCGCGAACGCAAATTCAAGAGCGATGGGCGCGATTCTTATCGGCGAAAATTCTGAGGGGCGGCTTCAGGGGGGACGCGAGGGAGTGCCGCGACGGGAAGAATCCCATCCGAATGAGGCAGTTACGGGAATGGCTTTTCTGGCATTTTCCTCCGGGAAATCGGAGCATCTTACGTGGATGCTTTCTTATATCATTTTATTTCATGTTTCGATCAATGGCGCACGTCTCGTGCCAGCGACGCGTGGAATTAACCGAGCGACTCTGTGTACCAACCCTTCCTCCGCGGGACGACTGTATCAAACGGCCGCGTCGCTTGTGACTCGTGAGCTATGAAATTGCTTGCTGTGCTTCCTCCATTGTGGGAGTACGAATAGTGTTTGTAAGATAGCTGTTGTTTGTCTAAGGTGTGTTTGACTCTTCGTAGTGCGGGACTGTCAAATGATACTTACCCTACACTGTTACCCCTTTTGGAGAGAAAGAGAGAGAGAGAGAGCATTATTAGACCACAGTCTTGGAAATCACAGTACTGTAAATTGAATTTACATCGTCGGGTTGCGATGAATGTCCCAGAAACTCTCTCTTCTAAGCCACGAAAACAAGCAAATACACCCTGGGGAGGGGCGAAAAAATGACAAATTATTGTTGCACACCGTCGATAAATGATAAAGGGCAAGGAATGTTGTTTGGCTCAACGGTCCAGCTAATAAAAATAATATCGTTCGAGCACAACACGCGTGTAGAAAAGAGCTTTTACGGTTCGCTGGATTGTCGAGCACCCGTGAAAATACACTAGCTCACCCGCATTGCGTAAAAGTGGCGCGCACCTGCAGGTGCAACAACTCGGAGAAAATTTCAACGGCAGCCGCGTCGTCGCGATGCCTATATAATTGTCACAAGCTGATACGGAAGCGAAAGAAGGGGGGGCCCACCGTAACGGGGAGGGGGGTCCTTCCGGATGATGGACTTTGCAGTTGGAAACACAGGCGCTAGGCGCGTATCCGGCTTCGTTAGGAAAGTTTGTTCCCAAGCGAGGAAAGCTCTACGTGTTTCGCCTGCAGCTTCTTTGCCCTCTGCAAACGTCTCGGAGCCGACGCACTTTATCGAAATAATATCCACCCCTTCTTCTCCGTCTCTGCACGGTGCACGGGCATATATATATATATATATATAATGNAAAAAAATGAATTTCATCTCCATAAGGATGAAAGTATTATATATATATATATATAAGTTGGCCGGGAGAGGATTTGCTCGCTGATGCGCTCAAAGAGAGTGGCTCTAGCTTGGGCGTATTAATTACTGCCCGTACCAGAGACAACAGAGGGGCTTCCGCGTCGCCGTTTCGGGAGGGGTAGATTCGTTGGAAATGGATATTCGTCACCCATCTACTTGCATCTCGAATCTTTCCGACCCTTGGCAAATTAATTTTCATAACTTACTTGCACGAGAATGGATCCTGTTTCAATGTATACGGAGGGAAGGAATTCGTGCCACGCCATCGGGTGAAAAAATATATGATTATTTTTATTTTCCGCGTTGGCAGACTCATGTTGAATGTCTCGAGTTGCGCCGCAAAAATTTGGAAAAGCAAAAAATAAAACTGATTTTCCCACGTACAAACGGAGAGAGAAGGCGTCGGAGGGGGTGTTTACGAGCGCGAAACTTGTATATACCAAGAGTCCGGGCCCGTCTCGAGAGTTAGTTCATTAAGAGCGAGAAACTCGATCTCGGGGGAAGCGCGGAGCAATGAAAGCCGAGCACATATACCCGGTAATGCGCGGTATTTCTTTTCCCCGTGTACAGCATCTTCTTCTTTTATTTTTTGCCTGCGAGGCGAGTGTACGTTATAAAAGACGGGGCATTATATGCAGGACGCGCCGACTTCCCGGGGAGCTTTCCAGTGTTGGTGCACGTGTTTATGTATGTGTACACTCGTTGCATTCGGGTCGCAATTTTTCTGCTTCTTCGAGTGCGCATGGGGGTTTACTATTACCAGAGTGAAATTACAGCCACCGTCGAGCGGCTCTTTATTCCTTCTGCCAATCTATTTATACGCCGTGGCTGTATCATCTAGACAAACAACACCCACCCCCGTTGGAAAATAAATGCCCGCAGCTATTAATTACCCCGTTTCTACAAGAGTATTCGGGCACGTTATCGTTTACCGCTTAAAAAAGCTTGCAAGCACGTGTGTGGCGTAAAATTTTGGGCACGCGTTCGGGGTAGGAAAATTTCAAGGCGAGGAGATATTAATTTTCAGGTCCGAGGGCCCCTTTGGCCACATTGAGGTCACCGTATCTCGTCGTTCCCGAGGCCCAAGTCGAGCGATCCGTCATCCTCCCTATTCCCGAAAATCAAATCATTGGAAATCTCTCGTAAAGTCTTTTCGCGCACCCTACTTTTGCCGATTCGGTATTATTTTTCTCTGCAGTCAATGGCTCATTTGGAAAAAATAAAATAAAACAAAATAAAATAAAATAAAATAAAAGTGGCGGTGAAATTATTGGCTTCTCGCGAAGCAAGTCCGATACGAACCCGTACAATTGATTGGCAGGCCCAACTCCGTTCCAAACTCTATATACATACACCGTTGGTAATTGAGGAAACGACAAGGGAGGAGGAGGAGAGCCGACCCGCTTATATACATACATAGTCCAAAACGCCGAGGGAGTATTACACAAGTATCGCACAAACGAGCTCGACTGCGCCTTTCGACATGTGCCCACCGAACTTGTTAATTCCCTGCTGGCACTACTTCGTGTTCGTACATACGTACACACGCAAGCGCTCTGTTTGCACTTTGACTTTGCGCGACGTGGGGTGTTTTGCAGGGATGAACAAAGTTTTCGGGCAATCATACGGATTGTTAATTATTCCGTTTGGGCGGGTTTTTCTTCGCTCGACAACGTGTTTTCCTTTTATTTGCACACGTGCACTCGTCCCTTGGCTGCGCGCCAGTTGATTTCGCTGCTTTTTAATATTTCGCGCGTATATTATCGGTTCGGTATAAATATTTGGTCGTCACTGGGGTGGATTGTTAAACGCTCGCACGTACGCGTGACAAACGAAAAATTGCCAAATTATACGATCGCGTACGCCGTTCCACGTGTAATTCGATGAATAAACACGACTCGGTTGTCGCTGGATTTCAATCGTTTATCTGTGTTTATTTATGGCTCTCGTTGGATAAGCTGTTTTTAACATTTGGCTGATTTTTTTTTCTCGAATTCAACGGAACTCTGACACATTCATTGCGAAGGGAGTTATTTCGGTATTGTCAAATAAAAGCATTGTAATTGGCTGACGATGTCCATACACGTACGTGTACCGATATTTTTGGGTGAAACCTTTTTTTCTTCGGAATTGTAAATTTTTTCATGGATGCGAGCTAAAATAAAATTTTTACTTCGTTACAAGTGTTACTTGATATTTTTTTCCGATCGGTTCACTCGAGTTTTTGTTTACCAATGAACGCTCGTCCCGTTTATTTATACGACAAAAACCTGATGCATCAATATTGATCCACGGGACTCTGCTACTGAACTCAATCATAAAAAAAACGGCGAGGATATTAAAAAATTGGAGGCAAATATTTGCAATCCCAAAGGTTTAAAAAAATTGTTGCAATATTTCCAAATCCATGTGTATACGATGGGGGTCTCTTAAAATTTTGATCGAACAAGAGTAAATGAAAAAATTCCTTTCTCATGCACATGCAGCCGAGCTGGAAGCCCCGAGCTATCTACAGGGTGAGTCGAGCTTTCGAATGTACGTACGTGTGTATATAGCGTAGATCCGAGCCAACTGTAGAAACTTTGGCTCTGCGTTTGCTCCGGCGAACAGAGTATTTCACGACAACGCCAAGATTATCTGCTTATCTCTAAATTAAATGGAGGATTAAGTTTCTCGCGCCTGTTTCTCCTTCTTATACATACATTTGTGCTTCTTCTTGATTTTTTTTTTTTTTTTTTTTCCTTTTAAAGCTCCACGGATATATATGTACGAGCGAGAGAAGTTCGGCGAACGGAATCGCTTGTTGTTCGCACTGATGAATAAATTATGAGGAAAAATGGACGTAGCGATTTTGCAAAATTCCCAAAGTTTTGATTGGATCCGCGGACGCGAAGCTTTGCAATTATTTTAGGGAAAAAAAAAAGAAACTTTTCTCCCTCGAATTTAAAGTTCTGCCGCCCCGTGGAACGGATCCTACGATCATAATTGACACGATTCCCGAAGTGTGAATTTCCACGTCGTATGGAGAGTTGGTTGCGTTCGATTAGTTGTGCGCCGAGCTTGGCGTTGTCGCGAAGTAATATTTGTTGTTACGCGGATTCCACGGCGCAGAAAAGTAGTTGGCAGTTGATGGGAAGCAAATTCAATAAAAAAACTTTTCATCGATAGACGGACGGCTACACCATGCGCCCTGGCTTGCCTGGGCAGAAGGGCGATGAGGGCAAGCCCGGTCATCCTGGTCAGAAAGGTAAAAGAAAAAAAAAGTCTCGTATCATATACATTCATTTTTATTTACCTTTTTTTTCTTCATTATTCAACATTATTAACTAAATATTTCGCGTTAACTATGTAGTTGAAATATTTCAAAATTAACATTTCGGCACGTGACGCGTCTTGGTAAGGATTATGATTATACAAATAATTACCACAAAATTGTGTTTCTACTTGCACGTTAATTAGTTAAATTGACTTTGTATTACAAAATATCGTAACCAACTAATCGATTTTCCATAATTTACCATCAAAATAAAATAAATGATGTAATAATAATTATAATTATGTACACTAGGTATGATTATTTCAAGAGGTATACAAGCAAACTAATAATACACTATAATCCACTATAATTTGACGTAACCCAGTTTGCATGTTTTCACTGTTTTTCGTGAAGATGTAATCGAGGGTACTTAGTTTTAGATCTTGATATTTGGTAGAAAAATTTTTAGACGTGGTATCGTACAAATTCATTGTACCATTAAAAACGACGAGTTGTCTTATCATACACATATAATAGGGTAACTTGTTTGTACTTTCCTTTATATCATTTATCGGGCAAGTAAACTTATTTGCTGTGATTCAAATCCGTTGAGAAATACAAAAAAATTTTTTGCTTTATTTTTTGTGTTAATACATTTTTTCATAACCATACACTCTGATTATGCTGCAAAAAGATATTGAATTCTTATTATTTTGCACTGAACTGTTCAAACAAGTGAACAGGCTGGGGTGCATTAAATAATTGCACTGGTCAGCAACGTGTGAATTGGTATTTTTAGTTATTAGCTTCGACTTGCACTCATTTTCGTAATTTATATTGATTGCGTACCTCTAAGAATACTTGTAGCTATAATGACGATGAGAACTGTACAATTAAATATTAGGGGAGCAAGGAGTGCACGGGTCCAAGGGTACCAAGGGAGAACCTGGACACAAGGGCTCGAAGGGTGACCACGGCAGGGAAGGTTCACGTGGTCATCAAGGGATGAAAGGTGAGCCCGGGGCTCCCGGGACTCCTGGGTTGCCTGGAGCCACAGGTGAAGTTGGCCGTGCAGGTAATAAGCGTACCATTGAATTTTTATCACCTTAAACAATAACAACAATTAAAGGTGGTTTGGACTTTGATTTCATTCGATTGTATTGTTCACCATCGAATACTTCAATTAAGTTGTTTAAACGGTCAGACTTTAGATCATAATTAATTTATATTCATTAAAGTGAAAAGTAGTGATGTTGTGCACAAGATCGTGGTCAATTGATTCAATTTGAATTGTTAGGTCATACTCGATCCAATCAAACAGTAAAATTTTAATAATTGCTTCAGTCGATGTAATCAAACAGTTAATTGATGTCTATCAAATAAAACATTTAAAAAAAAAAGAAGAAAGTTTAGTGGCCGATAAGAATTAATCGAATAAAAAAGCCCAACTTAGGTCATCGTGAATTTGATGTCAAATTAAAATGGATCGCAACTTTACAGGTGATAAGGGAGCTAAAGGAGACATTGGGCCGGAGGGCAAGAGCGGACCCGCTGGGCCTCCAGGACCTCCTGGAATTGGCGGCATCAGTATCGGTGAAGACGGTAAATTAATCATTTATGGTTTCGTACACTCACGACAGGTCGATAAAAATGCAAATGTTATTCCTTTCGCCCATCAGTGCAATATTATACTTACTTAATGGTAATGAACATTTTTTGGTTGTGCAGGTAGTAGCATCGCGAGAGGTGACAAGGGTGATCCTGGAGAACGTGGTTACAAAGGAGACATTGGTTTTAAGGTAATTTGGCACTATCTATCATTTTTAACTTGTTTAATTTATTAACAACTACAGTGATTCATTTACACAGTATAGATTTTTTTTTAAGTATAATTGATTGGCTCTTCTGTTCGCTTGCTCCTTTGTCAGGTCAAAATAAAACTTCGTCCAGCTTTATTTGTTTGGATAATTTTGTATATCACCAGTTCACATTAAATATCTAAAGATTAAAATTACGCAAAATAAGTTTGCAGTTTAGATGTCTGTTCCACTTTCGATCTTCCAATACTTGATGCAGATAGTGGGGATAATTTATTTAAAAAAAATATGTATATTTATATTAATTAACATATGGTATTATCAACAACTGACCCTTTTGGGTTTAAAATTTTTGTCAATACCACCTATAGGGTGAGAAAGGAGATACTGGCCACGCAGGACCAGCTGGAGTGCCTGGAGTTAACGGTATTCAGGGGCCTCAAGGTGACAAAGGCGAGCCTGGTAAGCCAACTATCTACGTTATTTAAACATTTCTTACGTGAAACTTGCACTTTTGTAGCGATTCAAATTTGTTTAACTTTCAAATTCAAAAAATATTTTTTACACAACTGGTACATTCAAACTTGCAATGATTAACAAATTCATTACGTCATGATGTCTTCTGGTTTACAAAATTTCTTTTCCTCAATCGAGTATTAGACATAAATATTGAAATAAACTAAATGTTAATCAAAATATGTATTTTTCATAAAGCTTCTTGTGGTAGTGGATACTAAAAAAATAAAAAATATTCAAATATTCAAATTAAAAAATTTCTCTTCGAAGCATTCGATAAAAAGATAAAATAAAAATATGTATAATGTATATTTTTGATGAAAAAACACGCAGGAAAGGACGGTGTGCCCGGGATTCCTGGCGTACCAGGGTTAAAGGGTGAGCGGGGTGATCGCGGGCCACCCGGGGCTGTGTCGATAGCCAGCGCAGGTGATTACGTGACGATCAAAGGTGAAAAGGGCGATGAAGGAAAGAGAGGCCGCAGAGGAAAGACCGGACCCCAGGGGCCTCCCGGACCACCCGGTACCATCGGCGACATTGGACTGCCAGGGTGGACGGTATGTACAGATACTTTTAAAATACCTACTGATTTACCTTTTTTTTTTTTTTTTTAATAAAAATAGATCTGGTCTACTTGCACGTTTGACCATCGATTCTCGCAACATTTCAAAGTACATCAAAGTTGATTAAAATTTCTCTTCCTTCGACTCGAGAGCAGACTTTTTTTCACTTGCAATTAGTATAATTTACACGCAACCACCGTAATAATTTGATAATTAACATTGTTTGCATTTTTTACTTTTGATTAAATTCACTCGAGCAAATATTAAATATATCATGCAATTTCATGCTTACCGAAGAATTCCATGAAGGTGAGTTTCGTGTGAAAAAACATTTTACGAAAAATTCCCATGAAAATGAACGAATGAGACCTACAACGAATCGGTGATTTAACCATCGGCGTAACTGCGCACAGGGTCGGCCAGGAAATCCCGGAGTACCTGGAAGTCCAGGACCCAAGGGAGACCGGGGGGAGGACGGTCTGCCCGGAACCGCCGGTCGCGACGGCCAGAGAGGCCCTCCCGGACCCCCGGGGCCCCCTGCCCAAGGCACCTACATACCAGTACCAGGACCCCCAGGGCCTCCGGGACCTCCTGGTCCAGGAATCGGCAAGGCGCATATATACGGAGAACGCGACTTTTACGGTTCCAGACAAGGTAGGTCCACCCCATAAACACTGCAACGAGAGCAGTGGACGCGAGAGGGATTGCTCTGTCTCCCTTTGATCATCGGAAGCACCACTTCCGTCCGTATAATTCGGAGCCAGGACCGATTGTCGAGCCCCAGTTTTTGCCGCCATCGATTTTTTTTTCATACCATGGACACCCACGCGCAAAATCCCATCCAAACGAAACGGAATATCGCGCTGGGGGGGGGGGAGATTTTGCACGGGCCACCCCCTCCCACCGGGTGAAACTTCGTTAGCGTCCACGTGCGCCCGACATCGCTTTCCCATTCTGACAGGTGAGACTCGCGCGATGATAAAAAATTCACTTCAATTTAACGTCCCGCCGTGCCACCGCTCTCCCGTGATTTATTATATACTTTTGCGCGTCCGATGAAAACTTTTGCAAGAGCCGTCGACGCGCGTTGCATTAACGTACGCCCCCCTCCCCCTTCCGTCACGAGCCGTGACAGCAGTTTAATACTTGAAATATATTTGTAATATATTTTTTTAAAACAAAATCCAAAGGGGAGGGGGTGGTGCAAAGTTAGCTACGGGATACAAGCCCCATCCTCTAAGGGTACATTCCGCGCGTCGACGGCAATATAACAGACCCGGTGTACGGCGCCACTTTGACAATTAGTTGGGCTCCAAAGGACAGAGGGTCGCAAACTCCAAAGCGGCCCCAAAATTCCCCGAATAGCGCGTATACATACCTAGCAAAGTACGCGGTGTTTGGGTGCATGTCTACTCCACGCTGTCATCTGTTTTCTCTCTCCCTAATACAACGCTGCGCACTGGTATTTTCCCTGATGTGCATCAGGACTGAGGAGCAACGTCGACGAGTTAAACGCCCTGCGCGAGCTCAAGCAGCTGAAGGAACTTAAAGAGCAGCTGGGTATGACAATATATACGTACATGTTGCACGTTTATCCCCCTTTGTGGTCTCCGACTCGCCTCTTGTGTGTAGGCGATCGGTGAAATGCGGTGACACTTGACACCCTCGGGAGGACGATTTAACGCAGGGGGTTGTGATCGATTTTCCATTTTTTTTTTTTTTTTTTTTTCCCATCCTGAGTCTGTGTGGGTATTTTTACGGTTTCTCCGTGAAAAGCCAGAGTTTTTAATCATCGGGTGCACGAGAAGAGTTGATGCGATTTTTCTCGTTACGAAATTACAAACTCGTTTTAAACTGCGACTAGTTTTTCGATACAACTTTTTTTTCCATTATAACTTTGGATTAAAACAATTTCGACGTTTGATGCGCCGAAAAGCGGCAACAACGAAATAAAGAAAACCGTTCATGTTGAAGAAAAAACAAAATATCTTGCATAATTGGCAAACAGCGCGAGTGGAAGTAGCTTCGGAAAAATGTAAATTAAAAAAAAAGCGTGCCTCGAATATAACTCGTTTGAATTTCGCAAAATTATTCCAAGTGTCACTCGTACACCTCCTCAAGCTCCTTACGTTGTGTATATATAATATACCCGAGAGTTTGGAAAATCGGCTTCGCGTAGCGGGTAAAAACAACGCACGCTAAGTACATCAGTAGCTTTTTCTCCCGGAGCGAAAATTCACTTTAAATTTGAATTGCAAATCGATTGCGCGCATGTCCCACCCGTTTGATACGCATATCGCACACCCCTGATTTTTAATTCAATGGGACGGGAATATTCAGCGGACGGAATTATTCCTCAGGTTCCAATGTGGCAGCGACGAGGGGGCCTTTAGAGACTACAACGAAAATCGTACCGGGCGCAGTGACATTTAAAAATACGGAAGCGATGACCAAGGTACGAGCCCTTATTCCCTTTTTTCCACCAAAGTCAAATAAAAACCTTTTTTTTTCTACCTTTCAGATGTCTGCTGTGAGTCCCGTAGGAACACTCGCCTACATCATAGACGAGCAAGCGTTGCTAGTTAGAGTCAACAACGGCTGGCAGTATATTCCGGTGAGTTTACCGGTAGAAAAAAAAAAAAAAAAAAAAATGAATTTCATCTCCATAAGGATGAAAGTATCAATTGACGGTTTTTCTCGCAGTTGGGCACGCTATTGCCGATCACGACGCCCGTACCGCCAACGACCGTCTCCCTGCCGGTTAATCCGCCATTCGAGGCCTCTAATCTGATCAATCAGATTCCAATAAAGGCAGACGGCACGAGCGTAAGAAGCTTAATTAATTATTATATAAGCTTAATTATCGGCGCACTTGCAAACGAGCTCTCGCGAGAGCATCATCGATAACTTACTAATCGATTTCAACCTTTTCCCCCTTTTTTTTCATTCAATGCCATCCAGTGGTCACCGAAAATGGTACGGTATACTAATCAAACTATATTTTCATATTTCAGTGTCGTGTTGTCTTATTTTCGTAGTTTGGCTGTTTGAAATTTTTCCCCCGCACTGGCTCGACGCGGAAACGATGAATCGCATTTTCATCGCTTGCACCTCGCGCCAGTGTTTTATTTCGCGCGGAAATATTCGAGAAATTCATTCGATGCTTGAAAAAAGAATGGATAAAATGCCCCCTTTTTAGAAGTAAAACTCGCCGACAGGGGGGTGGGATGAGGAATCCTCGGTAGTTTTTATCGGAAAATTCGTAGCGCGAGGAAGGGGGAAAGGATCGATCGAAACACAAACATTTAAAGTCAGAGCAATTGTTTTGGTCGTGCGTTTCCTGCATGCATAATTTCATTGTAAAAATGATTAACCCCCGCGATTAATTTCTTTTTCTTGTGCGTAAATATTTTCACGGATGAACCGAAGCGAGTGAAACTCGGTGTATTTTTAGCAGCGCGATCCTTTCTGAAACGGAACTGTGTTGCTTTTTATCCTCGCGAAAATCGGCTTTTTCCAAAATTGGGGCAATCTCTTCTTCGGTAGAAGTGTATCCGTCAAAACGAAAATAAAGTGGAAAGTAGTTTCAAAATTTCCTGTAAAATAAAGGTGTCCCGCAAAGGGTAGAAAAGAAGAATAATTTTCCATCAGTTCGACAAGCCGCGAAGGATAAAAAGGAAAGAAAAAAAGGGTAGGGGTGGAGAGAACACCTCGTCACTTCCCGGCTACTGTAACAGCCTTGTTCTTCTTCCCCCCTTTTTTTTCCCCAACCCATTTTTTTCCGAGACGATGAGGGACGGGGCAAACTCGGCGCATCAATTATTCCCTCCGCAATTTTAATATTCATTGAATCTCGGGGGGAAAAGAGGGTCCCGGGCTGCTCGGGACGTGGCGCCGGAGATTGTGCACGTGCGAACGTCACCGGGAACCTCGTTACTTTTAAGTGGATCGTCAAGCGGATGTTTACCGAATCGGGAATTTTGTTGGAAAACTCCAGCCCATCCCACCGAATGCCGAAAACCATTCTTTCGGATAAATCTAAATCACACGCGTAGCAAATGTATTAAAATTCGTAAGGGCTGATTCTTGAAGTCATTGAATGGACTTGACAAGTCATTCAAAGTCTTCAAAAAGACTCGAGAGTGCGCAGCCTCTCGCAAAAATCTGCTTCCTTTATTTTTAAATAAAATACGTAGTATTAGTAGTACAGCTCGTTGGAACCCATGTAATTTCCATGTTTAACGAATTGTTATCAATGTCGTGTGAATCTCTCGCGACTGTCCTTGTAACCGGTCGATCGGCAGCTACGACTGGCCGCGCTGAACGAGCCGGTGAGCGGCGACATGCACGGCACCCGGGGAGCCGACTACAACTGCTACAGGCAAGCCAAACGCGCCGGCTTCCGCTCTACCTTCCGCGCTTTCCTCAGCTCGCGCGTCCAAAACGTCGACAGCATCGTCCGGCTGACCGATCGCGACCTACCGATCGTCAACATAAAGGTACGTTTTATTTATCATTTTAATTTCCGTTGCAAATCTCTAGTTGACAATACACTTGTGTGTGTTTGTACGCGACGCAGGGCGACGTGCTCTTCAACTCGTGGAAGGAGATGTTCAACGGCAACGGGGCCCACTTCTCCCAAAACCCGCGGATCTACAGCTTCAACGGGAAAAACATCCTCACCGACTACACGTGGTGGGTAGTACGATGTAATATTAACCCAACGTATATGGAAGAAAACAAGCGTAACAATTGTTTGTGGGTGGTAGGCCGGAGAAGGTCATCTGGCACGGGTCGCACGCGCTGGGCGACCGGGCGATGGACACGTACTGCGACGCCTGGCACTCGGGCAGCGCGGACAGGTACGGGCTCGGCTCGCCCTTGACCAGCGGTAGACTGCTCGAGCAGCTGCGCTACTCCTGCGACAACAAGCTCACCCTCCTTTGCATCGAAGTCTCGAGCGAGCCGAGCAAGCGACGCCGACGCCGGCGCTCCTTAGAGGAGGACGAGGACGAGGAGGTGCTCAGCGAGGACGAGTACGCCGAGCAGCTGCGCCAACTGTCCAGGGACCCGCAACTGTGAATTAATTACAACTGCCGCGCCTGTCTTACGCATCAGGTGTAAACCAACAGCGAGTCGGTTGTTGCTTCTTTTTCACTGGTGCTCGCTAATATCATCTTCAACTTTTCGTTTGTCCCTTGCTTTTGAGATGGCGAGTCTTGGAAATAATGCCACGCGAACGGTCAATTGGTTTTTTTTTTAAGATCCGAGGGAAATCGCTCGGGTCAACGTTTTTTGGGTATACGATAACAATATTTTTTCATCCGTTTTACATATCACTTGGAGACTGATCGCTGTACGTGTTAAGGAACTCTTAATTGTGTTTGTCCACTTGCGTGCATGGGGATACGTTAAGATTGAAAAATGGTGGGGTTTTTTTTTGTTTTTTTTTTTTAGTTACAGCGAAGCAAACGATTTTCGAACCACTGCCGACTATAGGTATGTACATTGATAAGAAATAGCGTGGATGCCAAGGAAAAAATTTTATAAATGCGATTTTTAATAGTATTACGGTGAAATGAACGACACCTTGTGAATTTAGAATTGCGTGGGGCTTGCGTCGTCTCGCAATGTGTTTCTCTCGTCACGATAAACGTCCAGTACTTAGCACTACAGCCGTAACGAAAAAATCAATTGCAAGTGAAAGAAAAATAAATAAAATAAAATAATGTTTGAGAGAAACGTATGAAAATAAATCGAGTCTTGCCTCCTTTTTCCCATCTCCACAAACACATAGCCGTAATGTCTAGCAAATAGTTGCCATCTTCAAACCTAGATAGCTGAAGCGGGTATCCTGGACAAAAAGAGCGCGCGATTTCAACGAATTAGATTCCCCCTGAGTTTCTTAAAAAGTCACACGAATAGGTACTATTATATCGAACACATATCTCTTTTTTTTTTTTTTTTTTTTTTTTTTTTTTTTTCCCATCCTGAGTCTGTGTGGGTATTTTTACGGTTTCTCCGTGAAAAGCCAGAGTTTTTAATCATCGGGTGCACGAGAAGAGTTGATGCGATTTTTCTCGTTACGAAATTACAAACTCGTTTTAAACTGCGACTAGTTTTTCGATACAACTTTTTTTTCCATTATAACTTTGGATTAAAACAANTTTTTAATTAATTATTTTACATTGCCAAGTTCTTTCTTTAAGAAGACAAGCACGCACATTTTTTTCTACACGTTGTCTCTTTCGGTTTCGAGTTGTGTCAAAGTTTATTTGATCAAAGTAAATTACGCTCATTAAAATTTAGTTCAGGCATGGATTCAAGACTATTTTTTTTGTAACACGTTTTCTTTTGCACAAATGTTACCCGCTAATTGTCCTAACACGGAATGGTGGTGTGAAAGACACTGTAATTTTTATGTGTAATATGTATAGTTGCAGTCGTTTTGTTGATTTACTGAGCCATTATGTTGAACCTGTATGTCAAGTATAAAGTCGAATCTAAGTCAATGTTCATAACTTATTAAGTGTAATATACTAACAAATTTAAGTCATATTTTTTATTTTTACAAAACAAAGTTTTGTGAATAATGATTCCCTTCTTCACTTTAGTTTGGTTGAAAAAAAAGTTGAAGGGCTAGATATTGTTTTGAAAAAAAAAATAAGCTGCGTACAACATTTTAACTGTTATTAAAAAGAACTAGCATTATTTTATTTTCACAGTCATTGTAAAGTATAAAAATGTTTTCAGTTTACAAGAGATTATGTACTAAGTAATATTAAATTAGAAACAATAAACCTAATAATTTTGAAAATTATTGTATTTCGTTCACTTAATGGTAAGAAATATAAAATTATTCACTTTTCTCAACTTTGACTGGTACAACTGCTGCTGCTGGTGTTGTTGTCGTTTCTGTCTTTGTGGCAGTAGTGCTAATTTCTTCTGCTGTAACGTTTGCATTTAGAACTTCCAAGGCCTTGGTGTACTTCAGTTTCTCTAAAATCGCTTTTAAGTTACCAACTGATGCTTCAGGATCTTCTTCAGTCCATATAATTAACATTTCCTGACATTGCTCCAACGTGGATTGTTTCTTGGCAAAGAAAACAATCTACATGAAGTAAGAATCATAAGTAATCTTTTTTTCAAAGATTATCATTGGTTGATAAGAAAAAAATATTAATACCTCGTCACTCGTGTACCCCAGTTCAGCAGCTAATTTTTTCCAATCACCTTTAATTGTTTCGGCTAATTTCTCAACTAATTCTCGACTTATCCTATTGACGCGTTTACTTTTACTTTCTTCAGTTTCTGCCTCTGGCTCTTGCTTCAGAGATACTCCATTATTCTCTTGTTCCGTTTGTTCTTGAGGTGGAGTTTCTCCAGATTGTTGTTTTACATCGGCTTGAGTTAACTGCAATTTTACCTTGACATTAAAATTTAGAGTATGGTAATAATTTTATCCAAAAAACATAATTTTGACTAAAAATACTTACTGGTCTATCTTTTGCTATTTTTTTTATCATCATTTCAAGATACTCGGGAAGTTTATTTATTGGATAGTTGCCATGAACAAAGAAGTGTGGACTCCTCTTGGCTAATAATCTCAACGCTCTCCAGCCAAAGTTACCATCATTAACTTTTCTAAAAATGAAAAAAAAAAAAAAAGAGTAGAAGTTAGTATTTAAGCCTTTAAAAAAAAAAAGATAACAATAGAAGAAACCTACTTGTACTGTTCTTCTATTCCAGCAGCTGGGTCCAACTGTTCGATTGCCTCTTCAAAGTACGTTTCCAGAGATGGTAAGAAATCACGATCTTTGGATTTTGCGGCATCAAGATTATTAGGACACAAATTCCATAATTTTGTTAATTCTAGGCTACAAAAAATTGCGATAATTAGTTTAAATTTTGCACTGGGAATCAGTTATAGGTATAATTTATCATTCTTACTTTCCCATGTAATATTTGCCATGAGCTTGAGCATCGCGTATCATATCACCAAGTTTTCTTCTCGGCCTCTGTTGCTTTCTTGCCTCATCTAGCTCTGTTATCGGCTCTGGAGCTGGTCTCTTGAAAGCAGGGCAGCCATCATTTTTCCACCCATTCCAGAATTCTTCTCGTTTCAATATGTGCTTAACAGCTTCAGCAAAGGCAGCTCCATTGGGTGGTGTTTCAGTAAGAAGAATGTACACTTTACCAGTTGTCTCTGTGACCCACTCAACTTGGTCTTTTTTCAGTTCATGCGTTTCTCTGTTAAAAAGAAGAAGTTTGTAGTTGATTTTTTTTTTTTTTTTTCGATTACACAGAGTACTTATACTTACGACTTGAATTTCACTGTGCTGTTTAAATACTGAAATAATATTAGGAATTGTAACAAGACATATCGACGGAAATTAGAATCAGACATCTGCAATTCCAATAGTTTTTCATTGGTTAAGTATTTCGCAAAATAGTGAGAGTCTCTGTGAATTCCTTCCAATGCAGCTTCAAGTGCTGAGTGATCTATGGGACAATCTTTTTGATCTTCCAGCTTAAAGGAAGAAAATGCCGCCAAGACGTTTGAAGCATGCTGTAACAATAAAACAATTAAACAATCTTTCAATATTTTCTGATCAATAAATTTTGTTGGCAACAAGTTATTTAGTTTTTTAATGAAAACAAATACTCACAGCTGAAAAGGTTTTCCATTGCATTTTGTTATAACAAAGATTGGGATTTCTAAAAAAATCCTGGAGGGCCCAAAATTTTCTGTACAGATTATAATCTATTGAAATCTTTGGATCTGTTTTTTCCTCGTCGACATCCATGGGCTGTGCAACGTTCTCTTGTGACTTTTCACTTCCAAATTCAGTGGTGTTTTCCAAATTGAATTCACTTATGATATTGAGTCCTGATCTCTCGGAGAATGGAAAGAACTTGGCCAGAAACAGCAAAATTCTACCACAGAATACCGTTTGCTGAGATCTCGACAGTCTTCTGAGCAGATCATTACACATTCTCAGTAAGTTATTCTTGCATGACGTGAAAAACAATTCTTCCTTCCAGATAGAAACATTGTTTTCAACGTATGTAAACAACTCCTCGCAGTGGTTTAACGTGAGAGCATCGAAGGTGTCACTGAGCAACATAACTGGTACACTCATGGTAGCCAATTCTTTCCTGCACAGCTCTATACAAAACGTTATGTAGGCCTCTAAGGCCTCAGTGTTATTAGAATTGTTGGATAACAAAACAATCAATGTGTCCCTCAAGGCCTGATCAATGGCAGGCTTCCTGTCTTTTTCATTCGAACATTGCTCTAGACACTTTTTTTGAAATGATGCTACATCTGATGTTTTCAGAGATTGCTGGACATATTTCTGTAATAAAAAAAATATCATAAAATGGTTTACTTTCCATTCAAAAGTAGAGGAAATATTTTTTCTCCTCAAATTGAAATCACGCATAACCTAAAAGTGGAAGCAAATACAAATTATTAAGTTCAGTACTCACGCTAAAATCTTTCCGCAGTGTCTCGAACGATGCCATGGTGACACTCTTACTATTCACATAAAAATCTCAAGTAATTGTTAAAAATTAACTTTCTCTTATGTCAAAACCCTCAAGATGATTGAAAATCTGCTCTGACAAACGTTTATCGCCGCGGAGAAGTAAAAATAAAGGGAGAGAGACTGCGGCTAAAAAATCGATCTATCGAGTGGAACTCGACGCCATATTTGATACTCGAGAGATCGACAACTCGATCTTCGAGACAATGTCGAGAGTTTTGATGTTCGATCTTTCCATGATTTTCGTATTATTTGTGCGCGCACATCGTCCATTGTTGTTGATGTACCGAATGTCATATGTCATATCTAACAATTGATGCATTTATTGACTTTCTGTGAAAAGTATAGTTGGTTGGACTACTATTTGGAGGTTTTTTAATACACCACGCATTAGATTTTCCATAATTTTTTAATTGACATAGACAACAAACTCAAGTAAGGTAAGTTTTCCATCGCCAAGAGCACCTAACCTCTCTACCATTGAAAATGCGTTTTCATGGATTTATAATTATATTACGCATAACTTGTATTGTTTGTGTTATAATTTTTCATCGTTTCATTTCTCAAAAATATATGGTCTTTTACACGTATGTATCAATATGTGGTTTGGTTGCTATTTGAGCCCAATTAATATTTTTACACCTACAGTAAATAATGGAAGAATTGCGAATACTTATTTCTTAATTCCAAATTCAAAGTGACTAGTGCATGATGAAGGTAATTTTTTTCAGATGGGGGCTCTGGCTTTCCTGAAGAATCCTATTATTATAACCCTAAGTTTTGGCGTTTTGTCTGAGATTGTTTGGTATTTCATCAAGAAAAAGACACAGCCCAAGAAAAAAGCTAAAAGCATGAAATTAGATAAAAAACGAATTTATGACGTACTCTTTTTTTCTGAGCAATCAGCTTCATGCAGGATTCATGCCACTGACTCTCATCCCTGCTCTCTGCCTAGTTGCCCAATTAAGAATCTCAAGTAAGTACTGTAATACTGTTTAAGTAACTGATGGCTTATTTAACGTGTAGCATTTCACTGAGCAAGTGTAATTTTAACTTTACAGCAAGCTATTGGCTTACTTGAGCTCAGCAGAACAAACACTGGATATTTGTATATATTTTTTTACGTACAGTGCTATTGTAAAGTTGATTAAAGACCTGCTTATGAAGAGGAATGTTAGAATAAGAGTTATCTTGGATGATGAATCCACTGAAAATGATTCGAGTCAAATTTATATTATGAGAAAAGCTGGTTTGTTTCGATTTTTTAAAGTGCCGATTAGTATTATTTTGAAACTGTTAGAACGAAAATGGAAATTGTTTGTTTTCAGGTATGCTGGTAAGAACTAGAAAATCTCCATACCTCATGCATCACAAATTTGCCATTATTGACAAGAAGTTGCTGATTACGGGAAGTGCTAATTGGACCCATCAAGCGTTTTTCGGAAATTGTGAAAATATCCTTATCACAAATCAACCAGAGATTGTAAGAAGTTATTTTGAGGAATATGAAAAGATCTGGGCAAATTATGATATTGATTATGATACCGAAATAAAAATGCTTGAAGAGTTAGAAAAAGAAAAAAAGGAAAGAATAAGAAAAACAAGAGAACTGAGAGACATTCAGATATGATTTTGATATTTTGTAGTATTTGAATAATTTCAGAGTGACATGAAAAGAAAGTTCCATTTTTTTGTATTTTGTATTTTTTATACATGAGTGTTGGTAGAAATTTTACAACTTTGTCGATTAATGAATTCTTTTTGTAAATAACTTTTTTAATTCGTGAATAAGATTTTAAACATTTAATTTCTTTGTATCAATAAATCAAACACATTGAGATAGTAACTTATAAAAAATAATGCACATAAAACTAGACAGAATGTAAGTATTGACAATCAATGTAGTAACCGAGTAAAAAAAGAATTTTTCACAAACGATTTTCATGCAAAAGACATTTGACATCAAGCATATAAATTATAAGAAATAACTGTGATCAAATGTGTTCCAATGTAACTATCGTATGTTTGAAGAGACGTATATGTAAAGTGTACAAAACTGTGGACATGACTTACTTTCAGTAAAGAGTATTTTTCCAATAAAATGTTTAAATTTGTAAATAAAAAATTTTTTTCACTCTCCCTAAAGGTGCCATCAAAATACTCCATGTACAAAATCGTAAAAATTCCCCATCACAATCTACTGAATTTAGTTTTTCTCAAAGGATCATAAAAAAAAAAAAAGGGAGTATATTATCTCTGTAAACAAACAACACCACCTGTAGCCCTTCAATCCTCGCATTGGAGTTTCAATTGTTTTGTATCAAAATACACGGTATTAGACATGTATTCACCAGAGTCTTCGCATGTATAACAATACGTAAGCGCATAATAATCCCAGTTGATCCATAGAGTGCCACGACAATGCACTCCGGTCAGTAACTCTCGACAGCTTGCGATAGCCGCGTTGCCATGGCGATCGTGACGTCATTTGTCTCTTTCTCCCTCTCTCTGTAGTCCTCGTGGCGTGGATCGAGCTTTTTCTCTTTGCAATGTATAAGAAACAAAAGACAACACGTTGCGAGTTGACAAAAAAGTGCGGGGGTGATGCGATATGGTCCCTTGCGTTTTTCTTCAATTCGCTTTTTGTCTGTTCACGATTAGCCAACTTGGAAACGGCAAATTGCATTTCACGGGGACGTACCTTGTGTTATACACATTTTGCGTGGAAATAATTTTTTTTTCTTTTGCATTGGAAGTCGAAAGTGAATCTCAAGAAATATTTTATAAAATTACCGGAGCTGCGTTCAGCGGCTCTTCGTGAAAAGCTCAATTTCCATATTCATTAGTTTTTCTGAAATCTTCGATTGGTACTTTTCTCGTATTCGCTGAGCGTTGGTCTGTACGTACACACGTAGACTTCGCATGTGCCAAGATCAAGGACACGTAAAATTAGAAAAATCATGTTTTTTTATTATTTTTTTTTCCTGCCAACGAAAATAAACCGGCGCTTTCCTACACGTGTCGGGTAGAGAACGCAAATTTTTAGAGTCATGTAATTCTTTTTTCTGACTAAAAAATGTTAGCTCGACTCGACGCCTATACCCCCGATCTCGTATTCGAACGACGAGTTTGTTTTAACAACATTTCGCTCGTGGACTTTCAGTAAATGCGAATATTACAGCAAAGAGTTATTAGTCCTCTCACGAGTGATTTTTACGATTCAAGAATAGTTAATGTACGTATTATACCAGTGGTAAGGAATGAAATATTTTCTTTTTTCTCGGCGTTCCATTTTTTTTTTTATTTTGAAAAATCAATATCACCGATAATATTTTTTTTCCGTTAAAGCAAAACAGCGCAATAGACGTGAACAGTTTTTTTCAATCAGGCTAATGTCAATAAAATACAATGTCCACGGGACAAAGGCTTCGTTCCAATACAGCCACAAGAGACCCTCTCGTCCCTACGGGAAATGTAGGCTGGTTACGTAAAACGGCTCGATTAGCGTCATCGGTTGGTCGTCGAATGGATAATCCCCTTGTTTTGTGCCTCGGACACGAAGATTGGGGGGCGGGGGGCGATGTTAGCTCACTGGGAGCTTGCGACAGTCGCAAGAGTGTAGATCCGACAATGGACGAACGGCGATTCGTTCGATAAGCCAACTGTTTAGGCCAGTGAGTTACAAAACACCTCTTCTCCACTGACGTCATCGTTGCGAGACTCGCGGATATGACGCTCGAGTTCGTTCAATCGAAGAATTATTAAATCAATGGAGTCAATCGAAACGTTTTGGACGAGCTTGCTGCCCATTCGCGAGTGTTGTGAACTTGTAAAAGCATACGACAATAAAGTCCATTGTCTTTCCATTCGTTGGTGCTTATACAGCCAAGACCATTGCTCTAAGCCATTATAACCGAGTATGTACATGGCTCGTGTGTAGGGTATAATTATTTGTGTGTAATTTTTACCAAATGACTCTTTTGATTTCATGATGTGATAAATTTTTAGTTGGCCTTACGTACATAACATGGCAACGTTACTTTGAAACGGATAGTAGATGCAGGTATACCTATGTACAATTGTTCCCTAGCATCCCTACACGCACATACATACGCACGATATCTCTATAAATATGTATCCTCCAGTGACGCGCATACACCTTCACCTTGGGTGCCTTATAGCCCCTCCGGAGTTGTTCGTTTTCTCCCTTCCGTTGTGCACAATACAATATATTATATGGTCTGACGTAAAAAATGAGTCCGTATAACTCGTTTCAATTATTTATGTTTCCCCAGCACGCATTTTTAAAGGTGGATAGAGCTACATTGTATTTATGTTGCGTCATTCTGTTTAGTGGTGTTCTTTGAAAGCTCTTCAACTTTTTTTTCTTCTTCTCTCTCTTACGTCTTTCGGTTGGGATAAGCGCGTGTACAGTGCTATAATATAATATATTAAGAGGCTGATGATGCAGAGCTTACGTATTGCGGAAAAGAGCGGTGTGGCTGTGTTTTGTTTCTCAAAGCGAGTGATGTGACGCAGATATTTCGACGTACATATAACTACGATGACGATTCATCGATTCGTTTTAATATATTTATACATTGTGTATATACTTGGACATGGGCATTGATGCTTATAAATTTTTTAATCACTGTTTTGTTTTATTCCTAAAAGTTTAATACATTCTTTGGGCTGCAAAATTTTTTCACTTATTACGTATAACACATTGACTAGCAAAATTTTTCCACCAAAAACAATGCGTTGCACTTTGACAGAAAAAAAAGGGTCAAAGTACCTGACAAAGTATTTAGATGTGTTATTTAAAATAAAAATTACACTTATCTATATAGTAGAAACAAAAATTTTTCCAGTGTTTTATTGTTAATAGTGACGAATAAAAAATTTTTTGCAGCAAAAAGAATGCACTTTATACAGGAAAAATAATTGTATTAAATTGATGAAATAATTGTGCCCAAGTCTGATTGTATTGTCAATTCAAGTTTTACAAACTATTTCTTACAGAGGCAATACACACACCCCATCTGTTTACTTTTGAGTGATTTAAAATAACATATTTAAGTTTGCGTTTAAAACGAAATTATTTAATCATCAATTGGTTTTAGTAAACTCAAGTATTCAGTTTTAAAACACGTGGATGTATACTGGGCTACAGCAAATATACAATTATTATTTCAATAGCTATGGATGAAACATCAATACTTAAAATGAAATCTGTTGGGATAGTAAACAAATTTTTTTTCCTAAAATAAATGAAAATCAATAGACCTTGAAAACTACGAAGAAACGTATGTACTGTAGACGAGCACCTTCTTCGCAGCCAAGTTGCAAATCGAATTTCGCTCGACGCAGTGAAATTTTTTTCTCCTCCATTCAGCGATAAAAGCTTCCTGTATGGCAATCGAGTTACTCGGCGCTTGTAGAAACCCACTTGTTCGAATCTTTTTCACCCAAAGGACCTTGAGAAAGACGACGGCGACATCCTCGCGCTTCGGCCCTTTTTTTTTTTTTTGTTTCAATAATAAATTCTCGAAAAAAAAAGTTGGTTGATTTTGTTATTGGACGTAGACAGGCGCTTATTTTTATTTCCCACCCAATGCGCCCCACCAAGAGCTCCAAAAGTGGTCAATTAGTAACTGGACGTTGATTGCACTCTCGGCCTCGGACAATGGGAAAGCTCGAAGCTTCTTTGTACAGCTTGCGGAGGAGTTGCGGCGAGAAGTGCCCAGTCGAACGAACGAACGAGCTTCAATTACCAGGGAACCTTTTTTTCTCCCCCTTTCTTCATTTTTTTATGCTCGTGCTCTCGTTTGCTTTGCAAACAAATCGACTTTCCTGAAAGCACTCAAGCACTCGAGGCGTGTGATGTTGCTGCTCGGTGACTCCTTGCGTGAAAAGGATGGTGCATTACCATCGGCGACGAGCACTGTTGGTTAGCAAAGTGGGATTCTAATAAGTTACTTGGTGCAGAGATGGCGAAATATTTTATCATATATAAATGTATTATGATGCAGAAAAGCTTTTTATCAAAGAAAAGTCGAGCAATGAAAAGGAGCTTCGATTGCTCGTCGTAAATACGAGTCCTTCACGGCTCCTTCTTTATGCTTCCATGAAAAGTACCTCTCTTTTGTAAACTCCGAGAGAAAAAAATCGTAAAAAAAAGCTCGAGTGCTCAGTGCAAGAGAGTCGTCTTTAGCGGAGCGTTTTCTCCTTTGAGCAATACAGGTGTATTTCGTGAAATGAGTTGACATTAGAAAGTCATTTTTCGATCACACGTGTGTATAGGCATTAGACACACCTACTCTCTCAACGTGGGCGTTTATTTGCGCTTCGGCAATCGCCACTGGACGTGTTTTATGTATGCGGCACACCTGTATAATGAGCGGTGGAAGTGAAAATAAAATGTTTTTCGATTGACGTGGGATGCTTTGAATACTTTTAAGTTGATTGGCTCAAATTTGTCGAGATTTCCGACTAGTGAATCTTAGAAAGTGCCATTTTTTTTAATAAACATAAAGAGAGGATAGCGTG